GGAGTTGATATTGTGCTAAGATTTATAGATGACTCTATCTACACTTCTTGCTTCCTTCTGGTTGCCGTGAACTATGATGATTTCGTGCAATGCCGGCATTTTCATACACAGATAACCCATATGAATGGTTATGTTGAATTTGTTTCTGAACCCTCTTCCGAAGACAGCGTTGTAGGGGTAGTAGAGATGTACTACGTCGAATGTTACATATTCTATTCTTGCAATTTCTTAACCTCCGAAGGAGACTGGGAGGGATATTTTTTCTAATGCATCTATCCTCTTCCCTCCAAAGCTAATTAGTGGTGAATCCAAAGGCTGCAGCTGATTCCTGCTCAGCTTCATCTTGTCAAAGGCATTTACAAAGATGATATTTGCAAAGCTTCCAGAATCTATGAGAACCCTGTTTATTTGCCATCCTGCAATGTTGGCCTTGATTACCATGGCGTTGGTATGGGGGTAGCTCTGTAGTTGCAAATCTTGTTCTGAAAAGGTGATTGGCGTCTTGGACCAATTTGTGTAACGCACTAGGCCTTGAACTGCTATGTTGTTGACCAACCTAAGGTGATCCTTCTTTTGTTTCTTAGTCTAGAATTCCATCGAGGAGCCCTCGGCTATAGGCAGTATCATGCTGATGGTTGGAAGGGGCGTGTGAGGGTTGAGTTGGTTCTCTGGGTTAGGTTCATTTTTGGGTGCTGCGAGCTATGTCATTGGAGGCGAAAGCAATGCCTCTAGCTGTCTATTATGTATTTGGGATGGCTGGTTGGTCTCAATGAATGTTATGTGCGGAGGCCTTGGGTTTATGTAAGTGAGGTTGGCCTCCGCCCGTTGGTTGTTAGTTGGCCCTGTTGTTGGGTGCCTGGTCTCCATGCAGGTAGGAAGTTTGGATAGTAGGCGGTGGCTAGAGTGGACGGGTAAATTTGAGTGGAGTTCAGGCTTGGGTAAATTGGGCAGTATTGTTGTTGAGATGCTGTGAAGGTATGGTTCACCTCTCTAGGAGGTTGTTATGGTGGAGGCTGCGGATTTGCTCTGCTTTTGATCCTTTCTTGGGTCTCCTTGGCGTCTAGGCAGTCCCTGGTTATGTGCCCTTTGTTTTCTCCATGAAAAACAATACTGCCTTCACTGCCTTTGATTTTGGTTTCTATTCCAATTCCTACCTCGATTATTTCCCTTGCCTTCGGATTGTCTCAGGGGCGTGTTGTTTTGGCCTGCCTTCACTGGCTGTTGCCCCTGTTGGCTGCTTCCTTGTTGTTCTATATTGAAAACTTGCTGGTTTTGCGCTTGTTGTGCTTGCGGCTGGCCTCGGTTTTTGTTGCCCTTCTAGGTGTTTCTGTTGTTGCTCTGGAACTGCTTGCTTTGGTTTTGTTCTTCTAGTCTTCTGCGGAGGTCGTTGTTAGATCTACAATACTTCTCAAATTTGTTGTAGAGGTCTTCGATGGTTCACGGCTTTTCCCTAGCTAGATGAGCTGTGAATGGACCTATGCGAAGGCCTTTGATTGCTGCCTCTATAGCGACGTCCTCTAGGACATTTGATGCCTTTGCCTTTATTTGCACGAATTTCTAGAAGTAGTCCTTTAGGACTTCTCCTTGATTCTGCTTGCATTGAAACAGGTCTATGGAAGTCAAGGATTCACTTGTGAACCCCTTGAAATTTGTTAAGATCTTGTCGCGGAGGTCTTCCCATGAATAGACAGAACTTGGCCTTAGCATTGAATACCAGGCTAGCGCATCGCCTTTTGCTGCAATGACGAAGGACTTGGCCAGCACCGCTTCATTTCCACTAGCGGAAGCTACTGCTGCTTCATAGCTCATGATGAATTGCCGTGGGTCTGATCTTCCATTGAACTTCGACAAGGTGATGGGTTTGTAAGAGGAGAGCCAAGATGAGCTCTGGATACCTTCGGATAGTGGTGATTTAGAATCGATGGTTCTGTGGGTTTGTAGCGAAGTGTAGGGTGTGTCGGGGGTTGGTTGTACTATGGAACGTGGCGGGGGGTTGGGTTGTCTTTGGTTTGCTGAGTGAAGTTTGTTGGAGGTGTTGAAGTTGGGTAGCGAAGGCTGCATGCTTTGTATTTCAGCCTGTAATACGGCTAGCTGTTGCCTGATTTCGGCTGCCTAGGCTGATGCTTGGGTTGCTCGTTGACTTGCAGCGAAGGCTGCTGTGACCCTATCTTTTTCTTGTTGCATGCTCTGTAGCTGGGCCTGCAGCTGTTGAAGCTCTTGCTCCAGAGTGGCACTAGGGGCTTGCTGCTCCTCGGATGCCAGAGGCTGGTCTTCGACTGCGTTCTGTTCTTCAGCTTGGTCTTCTGAGGATGTGGCATAAGTGATGCGGGCATTGCGCCTGAGTCGCCCTCTCGTCGAGGGCTCCATGGTAACCCAGTGAAAACTTGCTCTCTTTCTTGCCATCGTGGGTCTTGCTTGGCCAACCCACAGTGGGCGCCAATGTTGAAAAACGGTGGTTTCCAGCAGGTGGGACTAGAAGGAGATTACCGAAGCCTTCGCTCGAATAGGTGCCTCGGGCTAAAGCGTGTCGGGTGGAAAGTGGGTCTAGACCAACTTATGGTTTTATAAATGCATTCAACTACCACCCTCTGTACAGAATTTGTGTTCCCCTTTTATAGGACATTGCTTGCTAAGGCTACTTTTTACAATTCTGTCCCTTAACAGTTACAGCACATCCTCGGAATATCCCTGCACTAACATAAATCGTTAAGGGTAATTTGGGTGCCTTCTTCTTCGACCGCCTTTTCTTGATGGGCCGCAACCGTGAGTCCGTCTGCGGCCCACGGCCCGGCACCGCCGCCCTTCATGAAGTTCCTCGACCCTCTGAGTCTTCGTCTGGGGCGGCCTTCGGGCGTAATTGCGCGCCGGCTCTCCATAGCCTTCGCAAGTGCCGCCAGAGCCTTCGCCACCGACAGCCTCCGGGCGCCTTCACTCCAGCCGCCAGAGCCTCCGCCTCGGACCTCCTCCGGGCTCCTTTGCCGCAGCCTTCGGTCCTCCGCCCTGATTGGCCGATCAGGCGGAGGCTGCCGTCCTCTTTCCCTACACATCATCCACAAAATTTGTTAACCGTTAGCTCTCGTCACTGCTCCGGTCCCTGACCTCCGTGACTCACAACCGTGTCCCAACACACTGATTGAATTAGTAAGAACATCACACATCTATGTTTTTAGGCCTTCTATTTAAGATTCCCTTATTGGCTGATTCACAAACAATATTGCACAGGATAGGTTAAGAACATTTTTTGCTGCTGCTGTTGAGTTTCTGAAATTAGGATCTCGTCAGCCTATTTTAGATAAGCAGCCGATCTTTTCCCTGAAGTGCTCTTGGCGGCAGTAGAAGGTAGGCCGTAGGCGGTGCTTGAGAGTGACAGAGGCCAGAGGGCCATGTAGCTAGTGGACAAACCTTAGTGTCCAAGCAAAAAGGGTGATGCTCGCTACCAGAACTGAAATGTGCTTTTCCATGTGGCTCATCTGATGGTCTAAATTGCAACATGCCGGGCCAGTCAATTCCAGTGCATGAATGAAGCATATATCCACTGGAAGGAAAAGCTCAATGTTGATGCTAAATGCTAAAGAACCGTAATCCTTTTCCGGAAATGGCCTGGAGGAAGGAACGGACCTTCTTGTTTGGCTGGTGGCCAACGTCTTCCTCGCCGTATGGCATCAGATTCTTGCATATACTTGCTGCCCTTTTTACGTCACTTAGTTCTTCAGCAATCATATGCCGGAGTCAATCCGAGGGAGTATATATCTCCCTTCCCGGTGTTTTGTAGTGAATTTGTGTGTGTGGTAAGTCATGTGCGAAACTATTGTTGGACGTAAGTTAGTTGCTGTTTTTTTGAACTTGTTTGGCTTATAAGCCAACGACCAAGCGAAAAGGCCGTTGGATTGGAGGTGCACATGACCTGTTTTTGTTATTACGAGATTGCAGCGCAATCTGGGTAGCCGCCATCTCTTTCGCTGAATCGCTGCTTAAATTTTCACCCCAAAGTGTCACATCGAATCTTGCGGCACATGCATAGAGTACTAAATGTAGACGAAAAACAAAACTAATTGCACAGTTGGGTGAGAAATCGTGAGACGAAACTTTTAAACCTAATTAGTCCAAACGAAATTGCTACAGTAGCCAAAACAAAAAATTTTCGCCATCTAAACGCGCCCTAAGGCTGTGTTTAGTTCCAAAAACTTTCCAAAAAATGCTACAGTAGCCATCACATCGAATCTTACGATACGTGCATGGAGCATTAAATATAGACGAAAAAAAACTAATTGTACAGTTTGGTTGGAAATCGCGAGACGAACGTTTTAAGCCTAACTAGTCCATGATCGAATACTAATTGCCAAAAAAAAAACAAAAATGCTGCAGTACCTAAATTCTTAAATTTCGCGAACTCAACACAGCCTAAACGGAGTTGTTGTCATGAGCTTCAAAACCCTCGAACGAGACGCGTTTTTGCCGCGGATCGCGCCTGCCGACAACGCTTGCGCTGCTGAGGAGTGCTGACCCGACCGGCGAGGGCCCGAGTCGGCGACCATCAATCAATCAGCGCTGCTGTTCGTCAGTTCTCAATGGAACCAGCAATGGCGGAACCAGATACAAAAATATTCATTTTATAGCATAACAATACATCAAATTAGCTATTTTTATGATAATATTGTGATTTTTCTTATAAATACTAACCACGTATGTAAAAATATTTAACAAATTATTAAAAAATACGTTTAGACATATTTGTCCAGCCCTACTTCATCCAAATAGCGGTTCCGCCACAGGCAACAAAAACATGCTTTGACAGCCAGCAACGGTTACGGGCGTGACGCCCGCGTGAGATCAGCGTCCCGTGCATCCTACGGCCACCGGCTTTCCCCATTTTGTCCTTTACTCAAACGCCATCTTCGCTTCCGTCCCTCTCCTGTCTCCTCTCTCCCTCTACGCCGCTTCTGCTCGCCGGCCCAAATCGACTCATCGGCCACGCCCGCCGCCAGGCTCCCGTCGTCTCCATGGGTCTCCTCTCGAACAGGTCACCCCTCAGATTCATTCCTTCTCTGGTATTTGTTCCAAGACTCATCCGTATTGGTCAGTCTGATCTCTGCAGTGCGCGGTTATTTTTTTGTTCCCCTTCTTTTGTGAGAATTTTTCCTTGTGTTGGGATAGGATTGGGAAGGAGAGCCTCAAGGCGGGGGATCACATCTACTCCTGGAGCGCCGCGTGGGTCTACGCGCATCACGGTGAGGTGCTTCGTATTGTATTACTTATATTATGCTTACTCCGTTGTATTTAAACTTTGATTGGATCACATTAATTTGCCGAGGTTTAGCCTGTTCGCTTAGTCGTATTTGGCTTGCCATGACTTATTAGCCAACGAACAGTATTTTTCTCTCACAACAAACCAGCCACTTTCAGCCATGACTTATAAGCCAAACTAGCCCAAACGAACATGGCGTTGCACTCGTGAATTTGCGAAATGGGGACTTGGCTTAAATGTTATGCACCACTCTCATGCTATTCGATAATGTCTAATAATCTACTTCATGCGTGTAGATCTCATCACCGATGTCGGATGTTTTGGGTTAGCAGGGAGGGGATTTCTCTGAACTGATTGGCCCTGAAAATGTTTTTAGGGTAGAGATCTCGTTAGCTGCTTGGGGCTTCGATTGATTCTCTAGATATCTTGAACACCAGCACCATTTGCTCTTTGGTGAGCATATCCATGGACCCTTTGTTTGTGCATCAAATCAGCATGGTTGATTTCTAGATGCTCTCCATGGTCTGCTGTGCCGTTCTTCAAAGTTTGAAGTCCAAACTCAATAGGAGTTCTATGTCAGACCAAACAAAACACACAAGTCCCATTTGGAACTAGATAGGTCCCCCTCCCTAATCTTGTGGAAATTGAATTAAACCATGTGAAATTCTTGCCTTCAAAGGGGGCCCTACCTTAAAGCAATTCAATTGCACGGTAAACAGTAGATTGATTATGGAGCCATGGAATACGTGTACATATATAGGCAAGGATCGTCTAGGTTAGGTTTATAGAAGTATTACCATCGTTGGATATCCTTTCCTATGATTAGAAACCAATCTATAGAAACCATACGGGCTCAAGGCCCAGGTGCAGCTAATAGACCCGGCCATTAAGGCCTAGCCGGTTATCTGTCTAACACTACTGCCTATGTTCTCTCTTTTCCCCTTTTTTTATTTATCATTTCCCAAAAATTTCTCTCTTGTTACTCTCAAGCTCTAACAGCTGAGAAAATTTAAATTGTAAATTTTAGGTGAGTGGAGTAGCTTCGAAAGTGCACTGTAAAAGAAGATATTTACAGCCTTTTATGTTTCTCAAACTAAAAGTTTGTGAATATGTACACAAAACAGTGCATCGTGCATTGGAACTGGACATATCAGATTGGCTTGGTAATAAATGGTTATAATGGCTCTGGAGACACTTTCATTAGTGTGAAGATGAGATCATTTAAGTCCTTCCTTCAAACTGCACCATATGAGATACATATGTGGACAGTTTGTTGGCAATCAAAGTACTTGTCTTTTTCCGTGAATCGGCAGGAGAGATGATTATCTTGAGAAGGAATAGATGATCTGGTTACATTTGATATAAAAAAAAAGATGGACCACACGGTCCCTAGCCAAATAGAAAAGACCACACTCCATAAACTGAAGGAACAAAAACTGCCCGGGAGGAATGAAATTATGTTTAGTGTATTGCCGTATGCATAGGTGTTTTTGGGTTTAACTGATCACCTTTTGACAGGCGCTACATGGAAAAAAATGAAATTGTTATTACAGATTGTATATCTTTGGGTAACCTTGTAGGAAACATTGTAGGTATTTTGTTAAGGGAATTTTCTTATATATGAATGTTCCTCTTACCTGTTATATGCCACTTCCATTCATTGTGTTACTGACACGGTGATCCAAACACTGAACCTACCTTGTGATGCATTGAGGAATTTTTCAATGCACACAATCCTATGCAATTTGAGGTGCCATTCAAAGTAAATTTGTTTAACCATACATTTCTCACAGGAATATATGTGGGTGATGATAAGGTGATCCATTTTACAAGAAGTGGCCAGGAGGTTGGAACAGGAACTGTCGTTGATATTCTTCTTGTGAGTTCTGCCCCAAAGCGAAGCAACACGCCTTGTCCGGTATGCACCAACGAAATCAGTGACACCAGCACAGAGACAAACGGGGTGGTATCCTCTTGCCTCAGCTGCTTCCTAGCTGGGGGTGCCCTTTACCGTTTCGAGTATGCAGTCAACCCAGCGCTCTTCCTTGCCAAAGCACGAGGAGGAACGTGCACCCTCGCGCTCTGATCCTGACGATACGGTGATTCGCCGTGCAAAGTACTTGCTGAACAATGGTTTCAGGTGCTACAATCTGTTCAAGAGCAACTGCGAGGACTTTGCGATATACTGCAAGACTGGCCTTCTTGTGGCTGAACGCGGTGTTGTTGGGCAGAGCGGGCAGGCTATCTCCATCATCGGTGGACCTCTTGCTGCAGTGGTCTCAACCCCGTTCCGCTTGGTTACCACAAATATCTATGGAATGGCAGTGATGGCCGTCGGGGTGTACTGTGCAAGCAGGTATGCAGCTGATATTGGCAACCGCCGTGACGTGGTGAAAGTGGAAGTAGAAGACCTGACGGCCGGATTGGCCAGCGGCAGGATACGTGCTGTGGAGAACATCGCTCAGCTGGTGGCTCCGGCGGCAGAAAGCCCAGCCACGGCCACACTGGCTGAAACTACACTGGCTGCTTAATGTAGTATTGTTGTTGTGCGTCAGTCAACATGTTTACTATTGCTTTGGTTCATTGTGTTCAGAATCCGCTTAAACTATGTTGAAGTGAGCTTCCATTCGGCAATGTCTCTACGAATCTCGATCGTGTATGTGTTGTGTTATGTTTCAAAGAAAAAAATGTGACTGTTGTGCGTCTTGTTGGTACACTACCGAACTATCAACATGAGTAAATTTGCTCATGAAGTACAAAGATGTTAGTATTGGTAAGGCGATCCAAGAAGGTCCGAAGGTAAATTTTATAGCTCCTCTTTTATTAGAACAAAAAAAGGTCTTATATAATTCAACAACTTATAGTTCTTCAATTTGGTTAGCTATGTCTTTGAAAACAGGTTTCTGCTCTCGAATCCTTCTTTAAATAAGAAGGATCAACTCTAGATAACCCATTTGGGGGAAAGACAATCATAGCTATTAAGAATTAATAAACATGTGCTGATCCTATGAATTGAATTGAATTTCTCTACTTATATCGGCTAGAATTGGGTGGCTGATAAGAATTGGTGATTTTGAAAGTACCTAATAAGGAGACTAAAGTGAATCTCAGGGGGATTGTACAATGATGGAAAATAGTGGAAGTGCAGAGGCATATCGACAGCCTGGTTAGGTGCAGCATGGGTGAAAACATATAATTGCATCAAAATATTATTTCCATTTAACTAGAGAAACAATTATTGTTCTCAGCATAAATTTAACTTAAAATGTCGACATAAATTGATATCAAACCCCGTAAAAAATTATGCACACTTGTAACTTTACAAACACTTTATTTTCATTAAACAAAAAAATTCACCTCCCTCTTACTCTCTCACCTCTCCATGAATGGCTACATATAGATGTGGATCTAGATTTACAAATATCTCCATTCATGGACAACCGTGTATAACACTATAAGAAGCAAGAAATCTAAACGAAATAACTAGATATTGAGGTGGGGCTACTCCATGCAAGTAAGTTGGGCAAAAAAATTGGCCAAAATTATTAACAAAATGTAAAATTAACAAGTATGTGTCTTTCTAGATGGAGGCCTTAACTAAGCAAAAATAAATATATAAGTAGACCTTTAAAAAGACATTTAGATGACATAATCTTATCTTTTAAAGTCAACTCCTTCAAAGTTTCAAAGTGCAAAACCTCCCCCCCTCTATTTTTGCAACATTTTTGTCTCCAAGTGAGCTTCCAATGGAGTGATATGTAGAGTTGCTGCAAGGAAGAAGAAAGCTTTGATAGTGAGTAATTTTCAGGGGTGGTTCACTAAGAGGACCAGCCCTATACATTATTTTTTAGGGATGCTTTTATTAACACAACTGCCCCTAGAAACATCTGATTTTTAGGGCTGGTTCTCTTAACAAATCCAACCTTGAACATTCCATTTGAAGGGGCAGCTCTTTTAAAATAATCGTCTCGAAAATGGATACATTTATAGGGACAATTTTCTTAACGGATCTGTCCCTTAAAATTAATTTTCAGGGGTGGTTCGTGAGTTACAATGCTCCCGTCCTAGTTATAGGTGGTTTCTCATGTGAACTGTCTCTCTATAATAAATCGGTGCCAATTGTAGAAAAGATATGTGTTGTGTAGTGTAGTATTGTTTTTTAAAATGTGAGAAGCTGCTTCAGTGCTTCTCCTGCTTAATTATTAATGTACTATCCTATCAGTGACAAACGCCTGTACACAGTACACAGCTCACGCCATCTCTACGTTTTGATGGCTTGGCTAGCTTGAAATAGACTGATTTCTGAAGCACGAGTTGGCCGGAGCCATGCTCTGTTCACCGTGGTCGTCTTCGACTACTGTCAGTTCATGTAGGGTACGAGCAGAACTGGCGCTGAGACTGCAGGAGAAGATTTGAAGAGAAGCGGTGCTGAGCAGCAGGTGGCCGCAGGTAGGACATGTCCAAGAGAAACGTGACGAGGATCAATGCGAGGATGAGTAGCGTCGCCAGCATCTTGAAGAGGTTGAGCCACGGCGTGCGCGAGAGTAGCAGCTTCTGGCAGGGGATTGGGCGCGGGCCCAGCAGCACGCCGAGGAGCCCCTTCAGCCCGAGCCGCGCCCATATTGGCTTGGCGAGCACCGTGGGCCACCAGGTGCCCGGGTGCGCGAAGACCACGGACACGCACGCCATGGCGCACGCGGCAGCGTTCAGGTTCCCACCGGGGATCCCGGTCCCCGGTGGGCTGAGCGCCAGGTGCACGCCGAAGGCGAAGGTGGCGATGACGAGCAGGACGCCAACGTGGAGCAGGTTGGAGGACCAGACGTGGTAGCGGCTGCGGTACCTGGGGTGCACGGTGGTGAGCCCCGCGTACATGAGCAGGCACGTCGCCACCGTGGAGCACAGGAACGCCAGCGCGTCGGGCAGGATGAACGCCCAGAACGCCGGCCTCTCCGCGGCGTCAGCGGCAGTCCCGGGCATGGTGAAGGGCGCCGCGAACGTCACCGTCTCGATGAGAACCGACCCGATGGCGCGGTTCTGCGTCAGGTTGGTGAACTTGCTGAGCTCCTTCTGCGAGCCCCCAACCCCGGTGCGCTTGTTCAGGTACTCGTCCCGGCGGCGGGGGCTGCGGTTCGCGCCGCACCACACCAGGCACTGCACTATCAGGACCTCCGGGTTCATCGGGTACGTGTAGCCGTGGTCGAGCTCGTTGATGGCCAGGTCCAGCGGCGTCGCGCCGTCGTTGTTCATGATGCTCAGGTTCACCTTCACGTCACGCACCAGCAGCATGGCGATCCTGTCGCAGCCGTGCTTCACAGCCAGGTGCAGCGGCGTGTTCCCCCTGCTGTCCCGCGCGTTCATCATCCTCCCCAACCTCGGGTTCTTGCACATGTGCTGCACCACCTTCTCCTTCTTGTGCTCGATGGCGCAGTGCAGGACGTTCCTCCCTCGGCTGTCCAGCAGCTCGTCGCTGTTGGGGCACGTCTCCATGAGCTGCTCGATGATGTCGACCTTGCCCATCTTCGCGGCGGTGTGCACGGGGAAGAGTCCGTCCACGTCCGGCATGTACGCCAGCGAAGAGTCCTCCAGCAGGAGAAGCTTCACTGCTCCGATCTTCCCAGCCGACGCCGCATGGTGGAGGGCCGTGTTCCCAGAGTTGTCCACCTTCTTCGCGAGCGTCGGCTCCCAGCACCACAGCGACTTGCTCATTTCTTGAAATGTTCCAGTTGTATATATGCAACACATCATCAGGAACCATATCAAATCAAAAGCTAGCACGAAATGCCCAAGAAAGATTGGCAGCTTACCTTCACTGGCAAGGACCGCAGCGTGCAGGGCAGTCTGTCCATCGGGTCCGGCGTAGTACGCCGGAGATTTCACCCCATCAGGCGGAGAGCCTGCGATCAGGACGTCGACCATGTCGGCGCGGCCTAACGCGGCCGCCAGGTACAACGGGGAGAAGCCCTTCCCGTCGACCACCGCGGCCAGCCCACCGTCCGCGGACATGAGCTTCGCCAGGACCGCCTCATGGCCGTTCCTGATGGCCTCGTGCATCGCGGTCGCGCCCTCCGAGTTCCTCGCCCGTAGCATGGACTCCTCGTCGCTAGACGCGCCAGCATACCACGCCGGCGCCGCTGCCACCGTCGCAGGGGCAAGGGCATGCTCCATGAGGTAGCACACCACGTCGACATGCCCGGCCTTCGCGGCACAGATCAGAGGAGTGTTGCGCAGGTTGTTCCTGGCCCTGACGAGCGACGCGTCAAGGTCGCACATTATTCGGGCGTGCCCCAGGTAGCCACGGCCGGCGGCGATATGGAGCGCCGTGTTCCCCTCCGAGGTGACGCCTTTCAGGCAGCTCGGGTTGCCTCGCTGCGTGGCTTCCAACTCGCCTCCATTGTCAGTAGTGCTTCTCAAACCGAGGACCTGTTCTAGGAGCGCCTTGTCGCCGGCGGCGGCAGCTCTGAGCAGCTCGAGGTTCATGGTGTGTGGGGTGTGCCGTGGTGGTACACCTGCTGAAGGAGACATCATGACCATGGTGTGGTTTGAGCACGGCATTAGTTTGAGTGCTCATACAGTAATTCCAGACACTAAAGTAGGCGCTTTAAGCTAGCTCTCCTGCATAAATATACACATAAATATGGGTGATTTGCATGGTAATTTACCACATTAGAAAGAAGAGTCAAACACACAACCGCGTAAGTTACTTGGCCCCATCAACCAACATCAAAATTTTGGCAAAGCATATTATATTATAACTGCAAATAGAAGCCACTAATTTTGCACAAGATGTCGACAATCAAAAGCTCAGATCGCTGGAAACGGGAGTTACAGAGTTTGATTTCCTGTTGTGGGTATGAATGCTATGGATGTATACAAAAGGCTCTTGAAATCACATGAAATTTGAGTTACACAAACATATGCTACATCGCGGCTTTCACTCAGCTCTCCAAGTACCATTCAGGTGTGTCATGGATATTCAAGTATTGAAAGCGGATATAGGGCAAGAGCATATCCAATTCATGAGACTAGCTATGAAAGTGAAAAACTAGTAGTGAGGCCAACAATCCTAAGTAATCTAGTTAGATTACGTTCAAGACACCGATGAATATCACAGCAAGTGGTTAGATATCATGATACGGAGTACTGTCTAATGCAAATCTGAACAAGCGATATGTGTCGTTTACTAAAAAAAAATATATCAGTACGTGTCATGTGCATATGAAGGACAGGCGGACAGGCCATTATATCAGAGCACATCTATTTTTTTACAACCACCTGCTAGTATCTTAGCATAACTACTAATAATGAAAATGATTGGAAAGGTACCTGAGCTTAACGAGTATCTTAGCATGACTACTAGTACTACGACTATCAATTTCGACTAGAAAAGAAAGGGATGCTGCTCAAATGCAAGTTTGCTATTACTCCTACCTTAGTAACGTGCTACATAGAGAACATGCGCGGTGTTTGTTAACGATTCATTTTTGCATTGACTAATAGCGAATTACTAATATAATGACGCCACATGGTACTGCCTTTCATCATCCCTTCGATCATTTCTCCGGTGCTAAGACGTGGCGAGATGCACTGAACGTAGTGCAATGTGCATCATAGATATAGATGAGACAAAACAGAGCCAACCACTCCACCATATATACACAAGACAACAATAATCCGAGGACGTCACAATCGAGCCCCAAACACAAGCAAGCGGGTGCAGGACCATGCAAACTGCAGCGAAATTGCGTAGGAATGGAAACCGATCAGCATCAGCTCCATTCCATTCCGGTTGCACGCGGTGTGCCGGTTGAGGTCCCTCGAAGGCTCCAACGGGGAAGAAATGGCATGGAACTTTGCGCACATAAATTTTACTCCCTCTGTTCAAAAATATTACTCCCTCCATTACAAATTATAAGATATTTTGACTTTTCTAGGTAAACATAGTGTTTATCTAAGTATATATCAAAAGCTTTGAATCCAGCAAAACCAAAACATCCAACAACTTGGAATGGAGAAAGTAATTGTATTAGAACAGACAAAAAGTCATACAAAATATATTTTGACCATTGATTTCTCTTATAATCGGCTTAAAAATCAACATCTTATCGGCACTTTTAACAGAAATTTATCGATGTAAGTTTTATGCTCTAAACTTTCACACAATTTGACTAATTAGTAGTCAAAATTTATGAACTTTGACTTTTCCTTTGTTCAAAATACAATTATCGTTTCTGAATGGAGGGGGTAAAATATACTACTAGAAGGAGAACACGGCAGAAATAAGGACGGACCTCTATGTTTAGTTAAGTTGCGTGTTGATCTTCGAGCACGGGCATGTAAAGAAGTAAGTTACGTCATCTCTTTCTAAATATGGCAATAGTTTGACACAGGGCGCGTTATTTGTTTGTAACAAAACTATAGAACGAGGAAGTCTATTAAAATGTGAATCTAGTGACATAATATTTTATAAAATTTTATATCATTATAACGATAATTGATGTTTGAAGATCACGATGTTTTTACTCTTTATTTAAATGCATGCACTCTTATATAAAAAATTCGATCCGCGGTGGCTAGATAGCCTCCGGGTATTCTAGCTTATGAAGAAGATCTTGTCACGCAGATCGAGAAACTCCCGAACCTCTGCCTCACCCTTACATAGCAGCACCGCAGCTCCTTGAGATGAGCTGGTTACGGACATGTGCTTTAGATATGGGGAGACAAAGGAGTTTTTTTTCCTGGTCGCTACGGCCGAAGCTACAAATAAAGGGGACTCACCACTCGGTCAGCCAGGCCGTTCCCACGCACTCTTATATATATGGCTAGCTGTAATGTTTAGTGCACATCACGTACTAGTGATGCATCTGCTTGCTTTTTAGAAGTGTTTAAATTTTAAGAACAAACAAGACACTTTGACACACAACAACCAATAAAATAAAAAATGCAAAGAGATTTTCTGAGGTTGTCTTCTTCTTCCTAAAAACATGTTACTCGCCGAAAATTGAAAAACACAAGGTAGCAGATGCAGATTTCTCTTGCAATTGATGATTGCAGTAGCCACCTGGCCGGTGCTAGCGACAAGATCTTGAAATCGCTACAAGAGAATCGTCTTTGGACCCACACCAAACAATGCAAGATTGATTTTTCCACCATTATCGTCAAACCAAAGGGTAGAAGGGTACCGGATCTTGCTGCAGAAATCGAAGAAAGACGATGAAGAAGTCGTTGCTTCCATGGGCATTGAAGAACGCTACACTCCCATAAAGAGTCCAACAATAATCGAAGCTTTGACACAGATCTGTTAAGCCTCTGTCTCACAAGGTTGCTAACGACGCCAGAGGAAGCACCATCGTTAAGGTAGAAAAGAACCCAAAAAGACTTCATCATTATAAACCGACAGAACACCCTGTAAAGCTACATTTTGTAAACTCTGAACTTTTGCTCCCTACTGAATGAAACGGCAGAACACCTGCCACATTATGCTCAAGATAAAAAAAAACGAAATCGTCGTCATTACGACGATCTCGCAATGGAGACTCAAAAGCCACCCTACCTCTTCGTCGCTGAAGAGGGAGCATCAAAACCCTGACACAAGTCAGCACAGTTACATAAACCATGGACCCAGAACTCGATATACTAGTTCGCCATCTAGAATCCTCAGTGCAGGACCCAGTTTCTCAAACCGATGACCAAATCAGGCCCATCTATTAGTTCGCCAAAAACGGAAGAGGGAGTGAGGGCCTTCCAGAACTGATCCCTCTGCAATCAGTTACTGTGCAATCAGGCCCATGCCCATCTATTAATGAGCCAGCTGAGGATCTTTATCGCAGGCTATCCCGTGCTTTTGGCCTTTTGCGCCTTTGCGGAGAGGAGAGGAGGCAGGTGCAAGCTGCGTTGGTGCATGGCCTATAAAATTTATTTTTTCTTCTACACAAAGACCATATATATCTCCTCCTTTTCTAGTTTTCGTCAACCTTTTTCCTTTCGCATACGTAACATATTTGATGTTTTTTTTTAGAAATGGGGATGGACCAGGATAGGCCGCGACCCGTCGCGCAATTGCAGAGCGTGCGACTCCGGGCCTGTTCGCTTGAACTTATCAGCCGACTTATCAGTTAGAATCTATAGTATTTTTCTCTCATAACAAATCAGCCAGGGCCGGCTTATCAGCCGAACAGGCCCTCCGTCCGACATGTGTCTGGTCCCCCACTCCTGTCCCCCCACTCCCGTCGCGCATGCGCCTTCGGACTTCGCTCCTGTCCCCGCGCCTGCTACATGTGCCCGACATTCATGCAAGCGCTGACGTAAGCGAAAAAAAAACATTTTCTTTGAATCGTTATCCCGTGTTAAATTCTGTCTACGCCGGTGTGTTCTACGTGACGAGGCAAACAAAACTAAACCCCACTTGTATATGTTTCAAAAAACTGTATTTTAGAGCAATTTACGTGTAATAGAGATTTATCAAATGAGTTACTAACGTGTAATATTAAAGTTGCTACTCTAAAAATATACTAAAGTTGTTACATAACATACACAAGCTCGGAGCAAAAATATCAAAATGAGTTACTACCATGTATACTAAAGTTGCTACTCCAAAAATATGCTAAAGTTGTTACATAGTATGCACATGCTGAGGGGCAAAAAATCTCAAAGGAGTTACTATACATAATACTAGAGTAATATTATAGTTGTACAACTTGGGAGGCTAATTATTGCAACAAACCTAAACATAGAAGCTGTTGCACAAACTAGGGGGCAAATTCTTTTGTTGCAACTTATGTGTGCAATGACTACCCTTTTACGACAACTTATACATTATAGGTGATGCAACTTATACTTGGGGCTAATTATTGCAATGAACCTAAACATAGAAGCTGTTACACAAACTAGGGGCAAATTCTTTTGTGGCAACTTATGTGTGCAATGATTACCCTTATGCGACAACTTGTACATTGTAGGTGAGACAACGATTTTAGAAGGCATTCCACATGAGTAGATCTACACAGAAACAATGAACATATAATATGAAGTCCAACAAAATTAGATTTTCTATTTTATGATTTTTGGGTGATTTACTATGATTTTTAAAGATTCAGCCGAAATAAATAAAAAAGAAAAAGATAAAACCGTCTTCAAAATAGCTTATAACCGGGTCAGGGAGGTAAGATGAACGGTTTTAAAAGTTGAGGGAGGTGTTTTGCTTAGTTTTGAAGTTCAGGGAGAAAAAACGGACTTTTACAAAATTTGAGGGAGATAATGTGGACTTTTTCCCCTAAGAAAACATTTGGTGGAGACAAATGGAGAGCAATAGCGTTTCTTAGGCCATGGGCCAAATATACCTCCTCGATCAGACGGAAGCCCATGTGATGGTGCTTGCGGCCCTCGAGCACCTCCATGGCTCCATCGAATGCGGCAGTCTATCGGATCATTGTAGTAGGAATAGCCAAAGTTCCACTCACAAAAAAAAGGAGTAGCCAAAGTAGGATGCATTTGGTGGCGATGACGCAAAGTTTCAGCTCTCTTTACGATTTGAC